TATAAAAACACCAAGTTAAATGGTTAAATCAACTAAATTAATTCATGCTTTTTTTCTCTGATAATACAATATTGGCATGTAGTAGTTTTGGAAGTTTTCAGTCTATGGGATTTGAAAACAGGATAATAATAAGCTAATTAGATGGCCAAACTAATCATGTGTAGTCTGTTTCTTTCCTGATGGTATTTCATTAGCATCTGGTAGTGATGATTGCTCTATTAGTTTATAAAGAAAAATTATGGTCATTCAAGTTGGATTTTTTCAGCCAATTTCTCCCCTGATGTATTATATTAGCATCTGGTAGTTGTGATTATTCTATCAGTTAATAAGATGTGAAGACAGGATAATAAAAAGCCAAATTTGATGGTCGTGAAGATGCAGTTTATTCAGTTAATTTCTCTTCTAATGGGAATACGTTAGCATCTGGTGGTTATGATGCCTCTATCAGTTTATGGGATGTGAAGACAGGATAATAGAAAGCGAAATTGAATGGTCATGCTAGTTATGTCTCGTCAGTCCTTTTCTCTCCTGTTGGTATTTAATTAGCATCTAGTAGTTATGATCACTTATCCATTTATAGTATGTTAAGGCAGGGTAAATTATGCTCAATTGGTCACATTTTACAAAATAGTAATTATTTTAATTTTTTTAGCTAAAATTCTTCATAAAAATACTTCAATTTTGTCAAAATCTGATATTGGATGCCTATGGAGCTTTAATCATGAAAAGAGAATTTATAAACTATAAAGTATCACGATACATTTTAATATATGCCATGATTATGCCATCAAATTGGGAGTAATAATTTACAATTTTGTTTTCAGCTTTTAGTCAGGAGCATAAACAAATTTTATTTAACAAAATTGTGAATAATCTATATTCTAAAATTTACTAATAATTCTAAATCCATTGAATGATATTTTAATACATTTGAAAAAATACTCATCATAATTGAATAATGTCAAACAAATTGAAAACATAAAACTTTTAATAATGAAATTTATAAAATTTAAAAATTATAAGAAAATGAAAAAGAGAAGAATTTTTTATTGTGAATATTAAATATACAAAATTAAATTTGCTTGTGAAATCAAAATATTGAATAGCTTTATTTGAAATCTTTTTTATGTTTCTCATCAATATTGATTAGAATATTACTTTGGGATTTGCTAACAAATATATTTATAATTAAGTTTCGCTAATTCTTTTAAATTAAACTGAAGCAGAATACATGTTGTTACTTGTTTAGTAGTTTAATGGCCAACAATATGTGGCATTAAAAAAAACTTTTAAATTACTTTTTTAATTGCATAAATCCATAATCATAAATCAGCTTCAATTTAATAATTATTGGGAATAATTCTTTAAGTTATTTGAAAGGAATATAGAAAAAAACTAAATCACGATGACTCTTAGGCTCAAAGAATTAGATATTTGTTTTTTTATAAAAATTGAGTTTAATGCATTTAGAAACAATCGCGAAAACCTTTTAGTATATCAAAGAAATACTCGGGATATCTTCTTTAAATTTATATGTTATAAGATATTCTGACTTTAGTCTTTTCATTATCATTAAAGTTCTATTCTCTCATTTTAAATTGATTAATTTTCTTTTATACATTTTGTTCTTTTTCTCAAATAAAAAATGATTGATTAAATTTCCACTTAATAAAGTTAATAAAGGAAACTAATTTTTATTTTTTACTTAAGTTATTTCAAACTGTATAATATTTAATAATCATAAAATAAACCTTTCCTTATCGATTTCAATAAGAATACCCTTCAATTTCAGCAAGCATAATCTTAAATTTTATTTATTTTAAGTTTGTCAAAATTCACCCTTATTTCATATTATTATTTCTATCGTAAATAAATCTATGTAGAGGAATTTGAAGAAGAGATTATGTTTGTTTCTTCAG